TCCAACATTTGGCTTATCTTATGTTCTTAATGTTATGTTCCAGGTTGGCAGGAGCTGGGGATTGTTCAGTGGTTAGAGCATTTTGGGCAGATATGGACTCATCTCCTTGCTTTCCACTAGCAGAGTGGAGGAGGTTTCCTTTGCTCGAAAGCCAGTCGAATCCGACTCTAGGAATGCGGTGCTCACCTCCGTTTCCGAGCCAAAGAGCCAGCGTTGTCCGAAGACATTTCCGTGGTCACGTGGCCGGCATGACTAGACGCCAGGGTGCACGGAACGCTGTTTCCCTCCCACCGAAGCGGTACCTATTTATCTACTTGCCATTTCTTGCTTTTGAACTGCTAGGTAGGCAGGATCTTGTCGTTTCCGAGCCAAAGAGCCAGCGTTGTCCGAAGACATTTCCGTGGTCACGTGGCCGGCATGACTAGACGCCAGGGTGCACGGAACGCTGTTTCCCTCCCACCGAAGCGGTACCTATTTATCTACTTGCCATTTCTTGCTTTTGAACTGCTAGGTAGGCAGGAGCTGGGGCCAGAGGCGGGAGCTCAGTCCGTCCCGCGGCCCTCGGGTCTCGCCCTGCCGACCTTCCAAGCCTGCAGTTCAGTGTCTTAACCACTTGAGCCACCACAGCTCCTAATCAATAAATAATAACTAAATAAACAGAACACCCACAAACTCCTTGCAATTTTATTTGCAAAGCTGCTCATAGGCAGACCAGCTTCCACAACTTTCATTTCCGACAAGGCAGAGGTGTCATGCCTGCCTGTCCGTGTCCAAAACATCACGGGCAAAGGGAAAGGTGGCTGGCTGCTGTGTGAGCTCAGCGCTGTTACCCCTTGCAAGCCAAAGTTTCTGGGAATCGTTTGCAAGGAGGTCTGCACTGAGGCCTTGAGGCTACGATGCACAGTTCAAACAGCTGTTATCACCGCTTGAAAATAATCTTTGGGAGGTTCAGGACTCTCGGAGGCCGCTCTGAGACCGCACCGTCTCCTCTTCGCCGTTCTCCTCCAAGTCAGGTCTTCCCTGCAGCTCCCGAGGCCCTGGGGTGAGGCGGAACACGACCGGCGTCTGGGCCAGAACCGGGTTCGTCTCCTGAAGGCCCACGATCCACTTGGCCAGGGTGGCCTGGTCCCCGGCCCCCGCCATACACATGGCAAAGACAGGGCCCTCTTCCACTGCAAAAAGAGCACAAAGATCATCAGCAGGAGCATCCCGAAGGAAAGCAAGCCTCGGCCAGGATTTTGTGTGAGTGAGCAGGTATAACGGTGGCCGCCCAGATCAGCAGGCAGAGCTGGGAAGAATCCAGACTTCACTCAGCCCCCACCCCACCCCCCAGGCAAATAAAGGCCTTCTGCCTCCTGCAACATCTATCTGGCATAATTTGGATCCTGAGGGATAACTTTCTTGAAGCCACGTGGGCAGTTTCAGCCCTTATGGACTGACAGGCACCTAGCTCCCCAAGCAGGTTGGGGACTTTTGACATGGGCTCTACCGCGAAGTATTTGTTAAGTTTAACAGCCCCACATAATCGCAGAGCATACGTGCTTGCACACTTTAATGTTCTGCCACCAGAGGTGCTTTTAGGGAGGTATCGCCAGATACCCTATGTAGACAGACTTTGTCCTTAGGGCTCTCTAAAAGATATAGAATCCACTACACACGCCATACTTCATTGCCCCCTCTATAGGAATATCCGATCTCGTTTTGTTACTCCATTTCTAGAGGGTAAGAGTTGGCACTCTGATGACTCAATTGTTCACTTTCTTCTCTTTAATTCTAACTGCAAAATAATGGAGGCTGTTGCAGAATTTTTATATTATGCAATCAGAAGACGAGGCTTGAATAGCCAAGTGTCAGTGACTGATGCATCTTTGTATTTCCCCGTATTTCCATGATGTTTTGTGCATTCATGCCAATAAAGGGTGTGTGTGTGTGTCTGACAGGCATCTACAAAGGAGTGATAACAGAGAAGTGGTTTTAGATCGCACATAGCACCCCCCGAGACCCTTAAGTTTACCACCTCCCAACCAAAGCCACGTTCCTAGGCGGTCGGGGGCTGCCTACAACACTGGAAAAACCGGCAGCACCTTCTATGCCGGCTCTCCCTTGGGACCATTTCATCCCCCCAGACGACTCATCGTTATTGTTGGAGCATCTCTGCTGATCGCTTTTTTTTTTTTAATGGCGTATATGAAAGCTACCTTCATCTATGTCGAATTCCTCATCATCCCAAGGCCCACGTTCCAGATCAAAGTCCAGTTGCATGGGGTAGTAGAAATTCCTTTCTGGGTCAATCACCTCTTCTTTCTATGGAAAAGGGGAGAGGAGGAGGAGGAGAGATTGGATTTATAGCCCGCCGTTCACTACCCAGAGGAGTCTCAGAGTGGCTTACAATTTCCTTTCCCCTCCCCACAAGAAGAAGAGAAGAGGAGACTGGATTTATACCCCACCCTTCACTACCCAAAGGGGTCTCAGAGCGGCTGACAAACTCCTCTCCCTTCCCCTCCCCACAACAGACACCCTGTGAGGTAGGTGGGGCTGAGAGAGCTCTTGACAGAAACTGCTCTTTTTCAAGGACAGCTCTTATCAGAACTACGGCTTGCCCAGGGTCATCCAGCAGGTGCGAGTGGAGGAGGGGGGAATCAAACCTGGTTCTCCCAGATTAGAGTCCGCGCACTTAACCACTACACCAGACTGGCCCTCTCACAGCAGACACCCTGTGAGGTAGGTGGGGCTGAGAGCTCTGACAGAAATGCCTCTTTCAAGGACAGCTCTGAAAGGACTTGTGACTGACCCAAGGTCACACCAGCAGCTGCATATGGAGGAGTGGGGAATCAAACCTGGATTAGAGTCCGCGCTCAACTACTACACCAAACTGGAGGAAGATGCAACCGCTTTGATAGCCAACACGATGTCCTATCTGCAAAGCACGAATCCCAGGGTTTCAAGTTGTTACCCACACAGCCAGGATTTTGTTAGGCCCCCAACTTTCCATACATGCACATCCCTGGCTGCGCATGCTTCAACTGCGATAGAAATTAGCCCAGGCGGTAAACAGAAATGTACATAAATGGGTATTAAATTTACGGAGTATTGTGTAATATCCTTGGGTTTCTGTAGGTAGCCTCAATAAACCACCACCAACAGAACAGCTGTTTACTGAAACACTCAGCACTAACCCACCCCCCCAAAGGGGTAAGAATGATTTTGGAAGGGGCTGTGGGTCCCCATTGGGGAATAAACTTTTAATGACAGTTGGTGTCAGTCGCCAGAAGGATAGCTACAAGAAGATCGAGGAACCGACTATAAGAAGAGTGGATTGTGTCCTCATAGGCATCGGGAATTAAGAACATAAGAGAAGCCAATTCTGGACCAGGCCAGTGGCCCATCCAGTCCAACACTCTGTGTCACACAGTGGCCTCAGGAGGTCCAGCAGTGGGGCCAGGACACTAGGAACCCCTCCAACTAGTGACCCCACCAAGCACCAAGAATACAGAGCATCACTTGCCCTAGAGAATTATTATTAGCACTTTATTGAGTTGTATAGTTAAATGATTCTAGAATTGTTTTAATTCAAATTAGTCACATTTTGTTGTAAGTTATGTATTGATTTTATGTAAGCTGCATTAATTAATTAATTAATTAATTAAAAGACGAGAGGAAGAAGAAGAGATTGGATTTATACCCTGCCCTTCACTACCCAAAGGAGTCTCAGAGCGGCTTACAATCTCCTTTCCCTTCCCCTCCCCACAAGAGACACCCTGGGAGGCAGGCGGGGCTGAGAGAGCTCTGACAGAGACTGCTCTTTTTCAAGGACAGCTGTTATCAGAACTATGGCTTGCCCAAGGTCGTCCGGCAGCTGCGAGTGGAGGAGTGGGGAATCAAACCCCATTCTCCCAGATTAGAGTCCGTGCACTTAACCACGACACCAAACTGGCTTTCATTTCTTTCTCTCTCTCTCTCTCTCTCTCTCTCTCTCTCTCTCTCTCTCTCTCTCTCTCTCTCTCTCTCTCTTTCATACCCCGCCCTCCCAACCATGGCCAGCTCAGATCAAATAATTATCAAACTATCAAATTTATTATCAAAAGATGGAGCAGATCTATTCTCTCTTGCTCCGGATTGCAAGACTAAATCTAATGGGTGGAAATTACAAGGGAGTCGATATACCAGCTAAATATCAGGAGAAACTTCCTAACTGTCAGAGTGGTTGAGCAGTGGAACAGACTGCCTCGGGAGGGGGTGGAGGCTCCTTCGCTGGACGTTTCCAAGCGGAGGCTGGACGACCCTCTTTCAGGTATGTTGTAGGGCTCTCTTTTGGCTGTGCTCCTGCAGAGTGCAGCTCGGGGGTTGGACTAGATGACCTACAAGGTCCCTTCCAACTCTTAACATTCTATGATTCTATGAGTGTGGCTTGAATTCCGTTTAAACGTCTCACTTAGCCACTGGGTTAGATCGAATCCTAGACTCACAGCGTTGGAAGGGGCCAGACAGGCCATCTAGTCCAACCCCCCCTGCTCAGTGCAGGATCAGCCTAGAGCATCCCTGACAAGGGTTTGTCCAGACGCTGCTTGAAGACTGCCAGGGAGAAGGGGGAGCTCCCCACCTCCCCAGGCAGCTGATTCCACTGCTGCACAACTCTGTTAAAAAGTTTTTCCTAATATGCAGCCAGTACCTTCCCACCCTGAATTTCAACCCTGTCGTCTGCTGCCAAGAGGAACAGCTCCCTGCCCTCCTCTAAGGGACAGCCCTTCAAGTATTTATAGAGAGCCGTCCTGCCCCCCCTCAACCTCCTCTTCTCCAGACTCAACATTCCCAAGAAGTCCCTCGGCCTTTCCTCAGAGGGCTTCTTGGTCTCCAGGCCCCCGATCAGCCTCGTCACTCTCCTCTGCACCAGTGTTCTCTCTAAGCTGAGTCAGTGTGAGCCAGCTCACTGTTTTTTAGCCTCCGGCTCACACACTCTTGTCGTAGCTCGGGAAGGAGGGCTCCAGAGCAAACTAAGTTACGCAGTAGCCAAATCGCTCACTCACAACTTTAAGGCCAGTAGCTCACAGAGTAGAATCTTTGCTCACAAGACACCATAGCTTAGAGGGAGCATTGCTCTGCACCCGCTCCGTTCCGTCCACATCCTTCTTGAAGGGAGGGCTCCAGAACGGCTCACAAGACTCCAGGTGTGGCCTGGCCTGCTGATCCTCTCCCCCACTCAGGATTCCTCCCCCCCCACACACACCCACCTACCCTTGCCCAGGAGTCAGTCTCCATCGCAACAGGTCTGCTCCCCGCCAGAGCCAGGCCTGGCAAGCAGGCACTCTGTCCTCTCCCAGAGGCAGAGCGGAACCACTCTGCCACACTGCCAGGCAGCATGGAAGGGGGGGGGCACAGCTTGTATAGTCAACAACCAAGAATAACAAATAAGCTGTAATAGTGCAAAAAGCGCTTATAACAAAATCACAGAAATTCCAAAAATTCAAAGCATATAATTCAATCTTTTTTTCTGTGAAATTCCAATTCCAGATGGACGAAACTCTCCGGAGTTAAACTTCCGTTTCGTAAGAAGAACTTCTTCCAAACATCAAAATCTCCTTCATAAAACACAATGTACAACATTACCTTTATATTCAGACAATGTACCACAAAGCTTAATATTAAACAGTCTCATTAAATATCATTAGGGTTGCCAAATCGTTTTTACCTGGTGGCGGGGGGCTCCCATTTGGCGTCGTCAGCGTGCGCGCGCCGCATGCACGTCATCCGGATGTGACGTGATGACGCCGGGCACGCTGGGGGCGGGGCCACAGCCATTTGAGGGGGAAACATAGTTTCCCCCTCAAATGGCTGTGGCCCCGCCCCCAGCGTGCCCGGCGTCATCACGTCACATCCGGATGACGTGCACGCTGGGGTGAGGTTTCCCCCGGGGCCCGATTCCGCCACGGCGGAAATCGGGCCTCCAAAGTGGGGGGAAATCCGCCCCCCGGGGGGATTTGGCAGCCCTAAATATCACACGTACAACAGTAGTTGTCTCTTCTCGTTCCATGATTAACTCCCTTACCATTCATCAATTTCTAAAATAAAATTATATTATATTGTTGTCATTAGTTATGTGCAAAATCATTTGGGAATTACAGCAGTGACTGAATTATATGCTTTGCATTTTTGGAATTTCTGCAATTTTGTAAGATTATAAGGACTTTTTGCACTGTTACAGCTTATTTGTTATTCTTGGTTGTTGACCCTGCCAGGCAGAGCTGTGCTAGCGAGACCCTCTGCTGGGCAACTCACTGCCGGGGGGACCACCCCCCTCCCCCACAGGCACACAAGGGGGGGGGCAGGCACCATTTACCCTTTCTTCGAGAGGCAACAGCTCTGCTCTGAGCACGTAGTAATAAACGCAAGCGTTCTTGAGCCACAGGCGAAAGGGGCCTTCCACGAAGACGGGCCTCTCTGGGTTGTGGCGGGCCAGGAGCGACTGCTGGTCGGGGCTCTGGATCCCTAAAGGGAGAGGAGAGGGAGGAAAAGGAAGGACAAAGATTGGCCAACACAGAAATTGCGTTAGGACTGGTGGAACTTACGCCTTCAATGGGGCCCAGGTCGCAAAGGTTGCCCGGCTGGCGGCTCCCTACCTGTCTCGCCCTGATCTAGCCACAGTGACCCACGCCATGGTCACCTCCGGGTTAGACTACTGTAACTCACTCTACGTGGGCCTACCCTTAGAAGTTGACCCAGAAACTCCAACTGGTACAGAATGTAGCTGCACAGGTCCTTACGGGGTCCCCCTCCCCATGTACAGCACACAGCCATCCTGTGCTGCAAGAACTGCCCTGGCTTCCGGCGGAGTACCGGATCAAGTTCAAGGTTCTCGTGTTGACCTTAAAGGTGTAAAGCGTGAAGAAGAAGGAGGAGAAGAGGGAGGAGGAGGAGGAGATTGTATCTATACCCCATGGCCCTTCACTACCCAAAGGAGTCTCAGAGCGGCTTACAAACTCCTTTCCCCTCCCCTCCCCACAACAGACAGACACCCTGTGAGGTAGGCGGGGCTGAGAGAGCTCTTTCCAGGACTGCCCTTTCAAGGACAGCTCTTGTCAGAACTATGGCTTGCCTAAGGTCATCCAGCAGCTGCATGTGGAGGAGTGGGGAATCAAACCCGGTTCTCCCGGATTAGAGTCCGCGCACTTAACCACGACACCAAACTGCAAAGCATCCATTTATTAATATGCACAGCAAAGGTCTCTTTGCTGCGCATATTAATAAATGGAAGCTTTACACTTGACACTTGACTGAACACAGGGGTCGTTTCGTAGAAAAAGAGCTAGGGGAACTCATTAGCATAACTCATTAGCATATGCCACACCCCCTGACATCAGGGGCCCGGCGGTGGACTTGCAAGGCCGACGGGAGTGCGAGGTAGCCCCGCCAAGGCCCTCCCTGGCCCCAGGCAGGCAGGGGTGGGGAGATGCGGGGAGGAAGCAACTTACCCTCCCTCTTCTCCTGCCGCCTCCTGGCTGAATGAGGGCTGGAAGCAGGGGGCAGCCGGAAGCAGGGGGCGGGGCTTCGTCATGTGCCCCGCCCCCCACACTTCACCCGGGGGAACTGCGATCCCCCCCGAATTGACCTCTGACTGAAAACTTTAAGGATTTGTATGGTACATATGTGAAATGTTTCATGAAGGAGTGTTATTAATCAGTGTAGTAATTTTGATAGTAATTTATCACGGTTTTGTATCAATTTTTGTCGATATTTTCCGTGGTTCTCTCTCTTTTTGTACATAACATAGAGAAGCAATCCCTCAAAGCAGAGAAATAAATGTGAGGCAGCAGCCTCTCAGCCGCTGGAGGTCTGGGGGGGAGAAAGGCCTCCTCTGTTTGTCTGTGGAGCTCAAGGGCTTCACCTTCTTGCTCCCCTTCGCAGAGATCTCCAAAAGTCAAGGGCTGCTTCCAGCCCCCGGGCCCAGGGCTTCTCACCCCAAACAAAGAAGGTCCAAAGGAGTGGGTACCTGTGATGTGCGGGTGCTCGATCTCTTTCCCAGAGTCCAAGACCTCTACGTGAGGCAGCTAGAAAGATGGAAGACAAACCCAGTAAGAGGACCAAGGAGGTCCGGTGCAAGCAGATGCAAAGAATCACACCAGAGACCGAAGCTTCACGAATCCCCAACTAGAGTGTGTTTAAGGGCATAGAATTAAAGCCAGTGCCAGCAGCGATTGCGTTTCCACTCATTAACTGAATCACTAGAAATTGGGAATGGGCTTAACCGCTTAATGGACAAATGGGGGAGAGCCCTGCAGCAAAACCAGCCTTAGCAGAAACACTAAGGACTTAACTTGGGGAGGGAGGGGGGACGCCGACGTTCAGAGGTCTCCCCGCAGAACACACACACACACATGGCTGCCAAGCACGAAGCCACCTTCAAGCAGAAGGTGCCGTCCAGAGAAAGTGAGGCATGGCTCAGGCAGTTTGAAGTGGGTGGCCTCCCCTCCAAGGACTGAGCAGGGCTGGCCCTGCTGAGCTTCCGAGACCTGACGAGATCAGGGCAGCCTGGGCCATTGAGGTCAAGGCAAGAGAGGAACAGAGATGGGTTTGCCCTTGCCTGCCTCTGCGGAGCTACCCTGGGCTTCCTGGGTGGTCTCTTCCCATCCAAGTAATAACCAGGGTGGACCCTGCTTAGCTTCAGAGATCAGGCCAGCCTGGGCCATCTCGGTCAAAGCAAGAGATGTTCAGAGTTGGTTTGGCCCTTGCCTGCCTCTGCGTAGCAACCCTGGACTTTGCCCAGCGGTCTCCCATCCGAGAACTAACCGGGGCCGACCCTGCTTAGCTTCTGAGGTCTGACGAGATCAAGTTAGCCTCGGGCCCTCCAGGTCGGGGTTGCATGCAGGGACTTTTCATAAATACGATCTGAATGATTTCTGTAAGTATCTGGCACAGCCAAGAGAGGTAAAAACTTGGATTCTGCTTAACCCCCTTTTCCAAAAACAAGCGGAGATGCCCATTATTAGTAATGGAAGCAGAGATCACAAGAACCGCAAGAACCGTACGGTTTTTATTTTTCCTTATGATGGACCTGGAAGCTTCGGCACAGGATCCTTAGGGACCCTCCACGCAAGGAAACAACCGTGCTAGACAGAGCTGAGGGCTTCACAGCAACTATGACATGAGCTGTGAATACTTAGATGCTAAAGATGACAATTGTCCAGCTAGGTATACTTATATAAGCAAAAGTGTTCAATATAGAAGTATATCTATCTAGACCTGGCGTGTCGAACTCATTTGTTATGAGGGCCAGATCTGACATAAATGAGACCTTGTTGGGCCGGGCCATGCGTGTCACAAAATGTTATGCCAGGTAGCAGAGATATAAACTTTATAAAGGACACAAACACAAAGGGTATTTTTTTAACTTAAAACAAAATCATGCTTAAAACATTAGCACTCTTGCAGTATCTTGTTTATTTAACAGTGTCTGACAACTGACACCTCTTGCTCTGAATTATTGTATCAAAATGTCTGTGCTGTTGCAATCTTGAGTATGCTGCTCAGGTGTGTATCTGTCAGCTGCAAACCTACGATGATGCAGCAGAAGCAGAAGACAGCCAGTTCCACCACTAACCCTGATCCGGCCCCTGGGCCGCTTGTTTGACACCCCTGATCTAGACAAGTGTCATCTTTAGTGTCTAATTATTCACAGCTCTGTGAGTTATGTACTCCTGTAAGATCTCTTGGCTTCTGTGTACACCTCATCAACCCCCTGAAGCCACCAGTGTTCCCTCTAAGCTGAGTTAGTGTGAGCCAGCTCACAGTTTTTTAGTCTCCGGCTCACCCATTTTTGTCTTAGCTCAGGAAGGATGGGGCTCCAGAGCAAACTAATCTATGCAGCAGTCAAACTGCTCGCTCACAACTTTAATGCCAGTAGCTCACAAAGTAGAATTTTTGCTCACAAGACTCCACAGCTTAGAGGGAACATTGGAAGCCACACCACCGGAAATCCTGGAAACCTCTCTCCTCCTGTCGCGCGGAGCGAGCGAACGAATGCGTCAGGCTGGGGGTCTCCCTGCTTACCTGGTAGGCCGTCACTCTGGCGTCCAGATCCGCAGCCATCCTCTGCAGGCTCAGCCTCGCCAGGTCCACGGGGTCTTGGGGCAGAGGGTCCGGAACAGGGTGAGGATTGACGTGCTTGAACTTAGGGAACCAGTACAGGATCCGCTGGTATTTCCTCACAGGGTGGCTCTTGTCCCCAAAGATCTGCAGCAGCAGGAAGTAAGTCTCCTTGTTGGGCATGACGCCTGCAAGGAAAGAGAGAAGAACAAGCCTCTCAGGAGTGGGGAGAAGCTCCCTGGCGGACTGCTGGGTGCACAGCCATTCGGAGTGAGGACTGTTAGCCGGGGCTGCCAGCTTCAGGTAGCCGATTCTTAAGAAGAGAAGAAAAAGAAGAGATTGGATTTATACCCTGTTCTTCACTCGGAGCCTCAGAGCGCCTTACAAACTCCCTTCCCCTCCCCACAAAAGACAACCTGTGCGGTAGACGGGGCTCAGAGAGCTCTTTCAAGGACAGGTCTTGAGAAAACAGCTCTGAGAGAAATTGTGACTGACCCAAGGTCACACCAGCAGCTGCATGTGGAGGAATGAGGAATCAAGCCCGGTTCTCCCAGATTAGAGTCTGCACACTTAACCACTGCACTAAACTGGAACATAAGAGAAGCCAGTGTTGGATCAGGCCAATGGCCCATGCAGTCCAACACTCTGTGTCACGCAGTGGCCAGAAATAGCAGGTGCCATCAGGAGGTCCAGCAGTGGGGCCAGATGACACTAGAAGCCCTCCCACTGTTGCCCCCCCCCCCCCGGCCAACCAAGAAGACAGAGCATTACTTGCCCCCCAGATCGAGAGTTCCTATCTATACCTAGTGGCTAATAGCCACTGATGGACCTCTGCTCCAGATGCTTATCTAATTCCCTTTTGAAGCCGGGCTAATAGCCACTGATGGACCTCTGCTCCAGATGCTTATCTAATTCCATTTTGAAGATGTCCATGCTTGTAGCCACCACCACCTCCTGTGGCAGTAAATTCCATGTGTTAATCACTCTTTGGGTGAAGGACTTCCTTTTGTCCGTTCTAACCCGACCGCTCAGCAATTTCATGGAGTGCCCACAAGGAGTTCTTGTACTGCGAGAAAGGGAGAAAAGTACCTCTTTCTCTGCCTGCTCTGTCCCATGCATAATCTTATGAACCTCGATCATGTCACCCCTCAGTCATCGTTTCTCCAAGCTAAAGAGCCCTAAGCGCCTTAA